TGATGTTCTAAATTCAAATCTACTTTGCCGCTCAAGCGAATAAAATAGAATTTTCCAGCCAGATTTCGAAGCGCAAAATTACACTTTCCGAGGTGGTGGGATGAAAACATACATAGCAAGTTAAATAAAAGCTTGTAAAAAGTATCACTTACACACCGAATACATAACCCTGTTTGGGATGATCTCAGGAACTACTGCTACAACAAACGATTTTCATACAGTCTTCATCATCAACATAAGTATGGTGTAAGATACAATCTCAATGACGACCTAATTTATTCGGATTTCTGGCAAATGTCAAATATCTAATACTGGCTGCTTCTACAGACATAGCGACCTTTTGCCGTGTAATGGCGTAATGATCTAACTAAATTCAAACTAACTATACTATTATAATCAAACTTATGTCTAAAATATCATGCGATTTCATTTTACAAAATCGCCCTACTAGACTGAGAGCCAGTGTTCCGCAGACTTACGGTTTAGTAGCAAACTTCATATTAATGCTAGTTATACTAATTCACCTGCCGTAGATCAAATGGGGGTTCACTATTCCTATAGAGGGTTCCTTTAGGCGTGCCTAGAAGACGAAAAGCATGAAAATCTACTTTCCAAACGTGTTCGCAGCATCTCTGCCGTTTTGATATCTTAAAATACATATTTTTTTTTAAAGAAAAACTTAATGGCAGATACTTATTCCGGTTCCTACAATATTTTATATAGTAACATAATTTCCAAAATTTTATAAAATTTACGTTATTTTAGCAAAGCTAAAAATTATATTTACAAAAACAGACACATAGGTCGGTTCTGACATGCGGGCAGAACACACGATACTTTCTCAGTCGTGCTATTGAAGTTGCATGATTTTGATTTTCTAACTCTTCATTTTACAGGGAAATAGTTTCTCAGCAAAGCTGCAAAGCTGCAATTTAAGTATGTTTTTTACATCATTATTATACATGTATATCTAAAAAACCAGACAGATAGGTCGGTTCTAAAATGCAGGCAGAATACATAATACTTTCGCAGTCATACTAATGGAGATATAAAAAAATATATATATTTTAAGATATCAAAACGGCAGACATGCTGCGAACGCGTTTTGTAAGTCGATTTTCATGCATTTCGACTCCTAGGCACGCCTAAAGGAATCCTCTATAGGAATAGTGAACCCCCATTTGATCTACGGCAGATAAATTAGTATAACTAGCATTAATATGAAGTTTGGTACTATACCGTAAGTCTGCGGAACACTGGCTCTTAGACTATACAGTGGATACCTATAATATTATGTAATTTCTTCTCTTTGAGACAAGAATAGTAATTAAAATTTTTTAATCAATCTGTTGTTCTCCTAATATAAAACATTCTTAAATACTAGTGGACGTTCATTGTTTCATCCGCGCTAAAGCCTTTTATTTTTTTTGGGTTAATATTGAGCCTAAAACGCTCTCCAATAACGTGACTTTCTGTTGGTAAAGGAATTTTCAAAATCCTTTCTTTAGATCCAAAGATTACTCCATACAACCTCACAAACTTTACCAATTTTATAATATCTGTATAGAATATTATATAAGAAAAAGCTTTCGCTAAATAAGAAGTGTTTATCTGAGGAAGCAACCTTTAACAGTTTACGTCCCTTTATCCTCATAGATTTATCAATTTCCCCACTGCTAGGTACACATACATGCATACATTTTCTTATGGATGAAATTAGTGAGATGGGCCTTACATGACCTACCATGCGGAGCCAGTGCAGTGGGTGTTACAATCGCAAATGACGTCGAGACCAACAGAACAGCACAGAGGAGCTCGAGAATAGTTTTTTTTAGTTTCCCATCCTATAACCGACAAATGTGAAAGTTACTTAACTTCCACGACTGAAAACCGAAAGCACTACACCAACAATCGAATCAAAAAAAAAATCAAAAATATGTTTATTCGCCAATACAAAATTTTAACTTAGCTTACAATTAAACAGTGGTTTTTGCACTGAGCTGAGCTCGTAACGCAAAGACCTAACATTTCAGTTTTTCTGAATAGTTCGCATTACAATATGTTGACAAAACTCGGAAGGTGAACATTGTGAGTGAGGAAGTTACGGTAATACTTAAATGTTTGAGTAACATTAGGACAAAAAATATGACAATAGTTATTAAAGTAACTTTAAACATTTTTATTGCAAATGAATTGGCAATTCCTACATGTCGCACAAACTATGCACAGAACTCAGTTGTTTTTCGAACGCAAAGTACATACAATAAGGGTTTCACGGCTGTTGACATATCTGCTTGCAGAAGTAAAGCATCTTTTAAAAAACAACTTTTAGGTCTGTTGGTTGATTGGTAATATACAAACAAAAATGAAACACACATGTATACATATATACACACAAACACACACACATACACATACACATACACACACACACACACACACACACACACATACACATACACATACACACACACACACACACACACACACACACACACACACACACACACACACACACATATACAATAGCGCGCGCGCATTGCACACATCTCGCCCTTGTTTGGTAGAGGGTTTTCTAAACTATTATGCTATAACTAAAAAATGAAAATCCGTAATTGGCATTAAGATAAACTATATTGTAAAACCTGTATTATATTAAGAAAATGCTGTGGATTTTGGTCTAGAATAAAATAAATAAAGAAATAATACTTAACCCGAAATGAACACCAAATATATCTCATAATCTCATTCTTTTGGTATATGGTACCTCAGATCAAATACTTTTTTAATAGGTCTGAGTATGGCCCTATCAAAAATTTTATAACAGAATTTTTCGACCAGATGTTGTTGTGCATTGAAATCCAACCCGCGGCCATCAAACAAATATAAAAGTTTCTCACCAAGAAGTACCATTTTAACAAATGTTCTGCCCAGGATCGGCCTGCTGGCTAACCTGGTACCTACCTATTCATTCGCAGCCAGTGTTGCCAGGTCCGATTTTTAAAAATCGGGAGGCGTTACAGGTAAAAACAGTAGATGTATGGAAACAGCTACAAGAAAAACAGTAGATGCAGGGGTGTACTTTTTCCGGTTTGCACCCCCCCCCCCCCCCTAAAAATGGTAAATCTAATCAAGAAATCAAGAACGAATGTGTTTCTGTGGCTTCTGCCGCCCCTCAAAGCTATTTTTTCTTTAGACAATTACATTTATTTTATAATTATTAAGGTTATCTACATTATTAATGACGAAAAATGCAACTCAACATGCAATTTAAAAAAGAAAATCGTTTTCTAAAAAAACAGGAGATTCATGTAGAAAAACAGTAGAACAGGAGAAATTTCAGAAAAACAGGAGATCTCCTGTAAAATCTGGAGACCTGGCAACACTGCTCGCAGCAAACTCAGGGGTGTATTTACCTTCCTGCTGAGCAGTAGGGTGAGGGACATCGTTAGAGTCTGTGAGGTAAGAGAGTTGGCGTGGCGAAAAACGGAACTAACATTAAAATTTTTATTTGGCAATGAAACCAAGCAGCAATCTGTAAAACGTCAAAGTTTTGTATTGATACGGATTTGTCTGTTGTTGTGATTTCTTGCGGTTTTTTGTATTTAATCATCTCTAAAAGGGGTAAAACCTTACAAATACGGTAGAAAAGCACTACAGCGCCCTCCATTCTAAATCCCATTCTCTTTCCGTACAGACTATACTCAGCTATATTTTGATTTTATTGCCCATCCCTGTGCCTCATCCATGGGTTAATTAGGTTCAAACTATGTTGCAAGGACCACATGAACCCAGCCAGAAAAACCTGTACATAGAGAATTGACCCGACCCTTGAATTGAACCTATAATATTCATAAGCAGTAAATGGATAGCAAGTACCTCAGTTCGCATGAATTAATGTTTCTGAACGTGGTGCTCGGAGAAGCGACAAGCCTGCTGCGCCGCGGAGCAGAGCAAGCGAGCTGACAACTGCGCGTCATAGAGTATCCAATGCAGACGGTAAGCTACTCAGTCTATCTGTTACCATATTATTATCCATACAATAAGAATACGGAACGGTAGGATGGAGATAGGACTTCACATTTGTTGAGCGCGATGTAGATGCACCCATGAGCCCTTATTTTGTGACTGACTAGCGGCCTGCCCTCGTTCCGCTTCGGTGTAGGGCTGAAGTGTAGACTACAGTTTTTGTTCTCAGGTTTGTATTATACACAATGACATTCATCTATGATTCTTCTTATTCCTGCATGCAAAGTCTCAGCCCGATCGGTTTAAAATTGACAAAATTTTATACAACAACTTTCATTCCCTATTTTATCCCCTTGGGGGTAGAATTGATCAAAATCCTTTCTTAGCGGATGCCTACGTCATAACATCTACCTGCATGCCAAATTTCAGCCCGATCTGTCCAGTGGTTTGGGCTGTGCGTTGATAGATCACTATGTCAGTCAGTCACCTTTGAGTTTTATATATATAGAAGATATGTGTTTAAGGTAGGTAAAAAAACAACGTTTGTATGTGACTCTTTTTTGTAAACCTCCATCTTCATGATCCGAGTGTTACCTGTATATAAAAGGGGACGTGGGACTTCCAGTTTTTTCAGAGTTATTGCTATGCCCTCATGTCTCTCTATTTAATGACCTGAAAGGGATGTGATGATGATAAAGAACCACTGTTGTATGGGTGTTTTGTATATGTGTTTTTGACGACCTCCGTGGCCGAGTGGTTGTACGCCGGGTTTCATGGTGTCGCCGATTCGAGAGGTCCCGGATTCAAATTCCGGTGGGGGCAGATGTTTGTGTGATGAATACGAGCATTTGTACTCCAGTTCAATATGTATTTCTATAAAAATATACTTATATATGTACAGTATATGTATTCTATCCGTTACCCTAGTATCCCATAACACAAGCCTTACAGTGCTTACTTTGGGGCTAGGCTAATTGGTGTGAGTGTTGCAAATATTTATTATTATCTTGAATCTTGACGACTTAACCGGTATGCCAGTTCCCCCGTTCGACCGATTCCCTGATCACCGCATGAGTATCTAGAAACTGCCCTATACCTTTAACGTAAAATGAAGTAGAATGAAAAGTATCTTCCCTTTAGAATTGTAGGCACTTACATCATATCGATTCCTGAGTCACATCTGTATGCCGAACGTAACTGATCTATGATAAGCCACCTCGCCCACCGAGCGCGATGGCGATGCGGCCACGTATCGGCGCGAGCGGGCCGGCAACATCGCATTATCGCTTCCTCTCGCTCAGTATCGCTTCGCCGTCGCTTGGGGAGGCCGCGTTTCAGTGAGTAGATTCACTCTCGAAAGCCAGAATAATATGGCCAACATGAGCAGCAGGCAAAACAGAGAAAAATTAATTGACGAAGTGAAAAAATACCCAGTTCTCTACGACACGAGACACGAAAACCATAGAGATATAGACATAAGGGATCGCTGCTGGCTGGAGATATCCGAAAAGCTCGGAGCGAACAGTGAGTAGATTATTCACGCACTCGTAATTTATCTTCGATGACTTGTTTAATACAGTTTTTCACTTTAGTACTTTGGTAATAGAGTGTAGAATGGTTTGTGAGCGTTCAGTGAACTTGACCGTATTTGAACCGTGTTGGTTACGCAATAGAGATTGGAATCGTATAGCTCGCTCGTCTTTACGCTAGTACAACATCGCAGCGTTCAATAGATGGATCTTTTCATTTCGATATTTCATTTTGAAGTTTTATTTTATGAACTGCGAACACTCATAACAACTATTTAGATTGTTATTTCATGATTATATACTTTTGTTTTTGCTAACAATTTTTGTGTTTATTCTAAATCACAAAAGTTCGTACTGTTTATGTATCTACCTACATTGTTAAGAAATAATAATTACTTCGCTTGTTAAGTAAGTTTCTCGTTTAGAGGATAATTACAAATCTTTGTAAGGCAAATTTCAGGAACATTTTTGATCAAAAGTTGCCGTAGGGACCTAAGAAAACGTTGCTTCTTTGACTTACGTAAATTAATTATTAAAATTGCTATATGTTACCAACTACGGCACGGCAGGCGTAGAACACGATACTTGCTACGGCAATTACCGTGTCGTGTTCTACGGCTTTTTCATTGATAAAATAATCTACGGCCGTTATCCCAGCGCCGCCGTAGCATATTCTACGGCTTTTAGCATAGGTACCATGATTTTGTATCATTTTGGAACTCGCCTTGTCAACACAATTTTACCGCTCCTCTTAGCTGGAAAAGTACTTATGATTTTTTTTTTTTTATAGATAGATCCGACAAATGACTCCACCCCACCTGATGTTAAGTGAAGGTGAAGTCCAGACGCGAAGATAGCTGATACAGCAGTTCTAACTGCCACACCAGCCATCCTCACCCTGCCGGCCTGCAAGTTGCTTCTTCGTTTCTTCGGTTTCTAAATGAATTAGATACTAAAACTAGAGGGAGAGGGGCGCGGGGGGGAGCTCAGATTTATCTCCTACAAGACACGGCTTTATTGTCGACTATACGGTCGGCTGGAAATTTTCGATGGCAACACGGAATGTATGTTTGTTTGTCCAACTGGAACACCAAATGAGAATAGGAAGGTTATTGAATGATGTGAATGTTAAATTAGATATCTACTACTATTCCAACAAAAAAACACTTGATAAGTAATATATAATTATGAATTCTGGAAAAAGGAAATTATTTTCATCGATAATAATCAGAAACGGCTAAACTTGTCCAAGTTCATATAATAAGCAATATCGTTACACGTTTGCAAAAAATCCATAGAAACCTTTCTCGCGACTGTAACTCGCTAACTACTGTACTATTCTGCCGTCCTCAAACTAAAATACGGCTAAGTGACATGTGGTCGATTTTTCAGTATTAAATTGCATCGTATACACTTTTTAATTCTCTATCGATCTGTCTATAACAAGTATTCGTATCTTTTATAGTTTAAGCTTAAAAATCCGTCATTTGTGAATGGTTACAAGTGCAGTTTTTTGGCTATATCTCACAAGTTGTTTTTGTCATTTAGCCGCATGTTAGTTTGTGGACGGCATTATTAATAAATAATAAAAAAAAAACGGACAACAGCAGTCCATATCAATGATACAAATGCAAACAATAAATTAAGATTAAATTAATTAATTTAATTTAATTTACAGAAAAAAAAACATCGTCAATAATAAATAAAGTATTGAGATACGAGCTTTCCGTCGTGGTACCTAGTTAAAGGTCATAGCGCACCTGAGCACTTGGCCCACGCGGCTCTCGAATAGCACCACCTCGGCGCGCGCTGACCACGAGTGGACGCCACGCTGTCTACCAGCTTACGTCGGGTGGGCCACGCTGCCGTCCTCAAGCTAAAACGCGGCTAAATGACAAAACTTTTGAGATATGGCCAATAAAACGGCGTGCAAACTTTAATCCATTGCTATTTTGTAACCATTCATCAAATGACGGATTTTTAGACTTAAACTACAAAAGAAACGAATACTTGTTAAAAACAGATAGATAGATAATTAAAAACTTTATATTATGACGTAATTTGAACCTGAAAAATCGACGGGCGGAGACGAAGAGATGGCGCTGCCTTGCAGCTTAAGAATGGCTAGAAAAATTTCGACGCGGTCCGTGAGGGCCGCGGTAGCATAATTGGTCAGTACATTCGCCTGGATTGCGAAGGGTTCGAGTCCCGTGTGCTGCCTGGTCCGCGTGGATTTTTTTCTAGTTATATTCTCTTTAGATTTAAACATCAAGCAGTTACATGCTTTAAAAATAATAAAATTTATATGTATTTCTAAATTAAAAATATACTTATATGTGTATTCTATCCGTTACGCTAGTATCCCATAACAATAGCCTTGCTGTGCTTACTTTGGGGCTAAGCTAACGCGTGTATATGAATTTGGAAATATTTATACCAGTATATTTATTTCTTCTCTCATCCATATCAGGCGAAGTGTTAAAGAGGGAATGGAAGATCCTGCGGGACTCGATGCGGCAGGCGCTGAAGCGGACCAAGCGCGGGATGACTACGAAGGCAGGCGTGCCTTGCAAGAAGTGGCGCTTCGAGAGCCGCATGGCCTTCATACTACCCTACATGACCATAAGGAGGTAGGGATTTTCGCTATATATGAGGCGCAACAAATCACCCCACCTGATTGATGTAAGTAGAAGTGGAGTCCAGTCGTAAAGATAATATCTGTCAACCTAATTTTCCTCTTAATCTGTAGTCATCTATATATCATCATATTTTTATTTTATTTTTTTTACAAATTTAGTATATGTATGTTTATTTATGTATTTGTTTATAAATATATATTTATGAATATATATGTGTATCAGTATATGTGTAGGTATAATATGTATTTTATATTTATTGTTGTTATAGAATAGTTAGGTATAGTAGATAGTTTTTATGATCCACACTAAGTAGCTCATATTTTATCGCCATAACATTTCATCTCCTACACCTTTACTGGTTGACTGGTAGAGAATGCCTATGGCATTAAGTCCGCCATTTACTGTTTTTATGGTAAAATAGAATAAATAAATAAATAAAATAAATAAATAAAGATACTTAGATGATGCGGCAGAAGGTGTATCGCTCCCAGTGTTGTCAGGTCTCCAGAATTTACAGGAGATCTCCTGTTTTTCTGAAATCTCTCCTGTTCTACTGTTTTTCTACATGAATCTCCTGTTTTTCTTAATACGATTTATCTTTTTTAAATTTGCATGTTGAGTTGCATTTTCGGCCATTAATAATGTAGGAAACCTTATTAAGGGGTGGCAGAAGCCACAGAAATACATTCGTTACTGGTCTTTATCTTGATTGACTTTAATTGATTTACCAATTCCGGGGGGGGGAGGGGGGGGGGGGCAAATCTGAAAAAGTACGCCTCTGCATTCTACTGTTTTTCTTATAGCTCTTTCCATACATCTACTGTTTTTCTTATAGCTCTTTCCATACATCTACCGTTTTTCTTGTAGCTCTTTCCATACATCTACTGTTTTCCTTGTAGCTCTTTCCATACATCTACTGTTTTCCTTGTAGCTCTTTCCATACATCTACTGTTTTTCTTGTAGCTCTTTCCATACATATACTGTTTTTTTCTATAACGCCTCCCGATTTTTAAAAATCCGACCTGGCAACACTGATCGCTCTAGCCATCCTCACCTAGCAGGTCTAATCCACGGAGCCCTGGAGCCCTACCCACCAGCAGAAACAACACCACCAATAGGTAGCGTTATTTTATTGTGATCTTCTGTAATATGGAAATTGTAACCCACAGACGGGTGCGACTCCTTTATTGAGTTTTAGTTTGAATCAAACCACGCATACGAAGTAAACAACGATCGAAGCAAACGCTAACTTAATAATAATAGTACATAACTGTTGGGAAGCCAAAAACTAATGGCCATTACGTGTGGGTTAAACATTGAACTCCAATTATTATCTAATTTTATTCGCTACAGTTTTGATTTAGGTTTCCATACCTAAAGCCCGAAAGGTGAACCCTGAAGAAGCCCTAAATATTACTAAGTCGTCCCTATTACGTGAACCCTATCACTTACTATTTATCTCATGAACCATAGCAAGTACATGTAACCGTAACACAGAATTAGTATTTCTCTAATAACAAACTAGTTTAAAATAAATAAAGAAGATATGATGATGGCCGTGTCGATTTTTCTCTAGTACTTCTTAAGCTGCAAGGCAGTGCCATCCCTTCGCATTTTAGGTAACCCCTTATGTCAAATGAATACCTTTACAAGTATTAAAAATTTGACAAGAGAAATAGCAGTTAAATGCTTAAAAATAAAATAAAATAATAAAAGGACACACATGCGATATTATTTTTACGGCGAATTTAAAATTGCGTTTTTGGAAATCACAATAGCTGTATTGCAAATGTTAATTGCTAGCCTTGTACGTGACCACTTTTTATATCTACCGTGTTATTCTTTCAGAAACCACAGACAAGTGAAGGACAACGACATCGACGTCAAAATGGACGAAGTGGAGGAGCCCACAACCCACCAATCAGAGGAGGAGTCCGAGGTGTGGGATCCGGGCCACCAGGGGGCTGACCAGGACTCTCTTGATCTATTCTTCGCGAGCGTATGCCAAAGCACGAAACGATTACCAAAGAAATTCCAGAACACAATAAAGAGACAAGTTTTGGATGTCCTACTGAGGGTAGAGGACGAATTTGAAAGCGAACAAGTCGCAAACAAAATGGCGGATCAGAAAAATTTCTAGATGGTCATGAGCATCGGCTAAAACGCAGATCCGAAGGGGTCACTCCTACCCCGAGTGTTAATTTAAACGGTGCAAATGAATGCCCCGCTAACTCCATTAAGGGTTGATTTATTTGAACATCTAGATACTTTACTGGAAAAATCTACTCAGAGTTAATATAATTTATTGACGGACTTTATGAGAGTTTGCGCATTACGGATTCCTGTTTCGTACAAGGAATGGTTTTTGTTGATTTATTTATTTGAAATTGCGAATAAATTTGAAGAAGACGCGTATGTACTTGTTTTTTTATTTCATGCACATAAAACTTTATATTTATGGACTAATAAAAGAATGTGTTGCTCAAGGCATCCTCAACTTTAAGGTCTGAATCCTATCTCAATAACAGAAACATAAAACCACGAAACGAAAGTATAAATTAGTTTAGTGGAGTCTTCAAAAGGGAGTTTATTACCCAAGGCCAATTACCAACTACAATTATCTTACTAACATTCACTATTAGAAATGTCAATTAATTTTAAGTCTCATCAAAGCACCGCTGTCACTTTAAATTATAGTTTGATTGCGGTCGTAATCTATGATTTCTATTATATTTACTCTTACCTAGTGAAGATTTAAATAACATCTCTAAAAATGTTATGTAGTAAGAAATTGTCTAAAAGCTAGTTTAAAGAAAACACCGAACGTATGGATAAAGTTTGTTTCGGGCGAAAACGCTACGCATTCTGAGCCCCTAGGATCCCCCCTATTCCCCCTTACCCCTCCCGAGGGGGAACCCTCCCCACCTGTTATAAATACCCGACCTCGCTCGATGCCAAGGTCGCGCCGAATCATCGTGACTCGAAAATACGCCCTGTCAGCTGATATTAAGAGCCAATATCGTTTTCTGTAACCAAGCCACAAATGAAAACTATTGATACACACACTAGCTATGTCTTTACCTCTAGATTTTAGATTGTTTAACGAAAAACATGAGGTGCCTGTTAAATATACAGTATTCAATTTACAAAAGGTATTGTTTTGGGTTCTTTATTAGACAGCTGCCGATAAAATCATTGTTAGGATGTCTAATCTACACATCAATCTATTCTTTGCGCTATGCTCTGCTTAATCACCTCGCTCTTGCTCTCAACAAATAGCTTGTATTTTTTCCCCAATAACATTAAATCTAAGAAGATTACTATTATTGGGGAAATAATACAAGCTTTTCGTTGTTTTATAAATCATGAACATAGCAATACGATGCAGGGCTTGTATACCGGTTAATTTTCAACTGAATCAGTGTCAAGTACATTAGGAGCGTTTTATTTAGGTTTGGCTCTACCTTAAACTTAAAAAACTGGTTTTCCTAAAGAGTGAAATCAAATAGGTTTTGAATCAATTTAGCGGTTTTTAAAGGGTTTCGTTTCGCTCTTTCTGACGGCATCGATAATAAATGAATAACTTGACTCACTAGATGCTAGCAGACGTGTCAATAAATGTATCAATCTCTGAGCATTAACAAGTTGTGACTTGATTAGTTCAAACAAAACAAACTTCAAGCGATGCCGACGCGTGCACGTGTCGCTCTGTATTAAACCGGTTTATTAAGGTTTTAGGTACCGCTTTCATTTCGGACGCGCTCCGAACGAAACCTTTACTAAAAACCGGTATTAACCTTTATTTACCGGTATTTTCGAAACCGGTTTCAAGCCCTGATACGATGGTTTCTGCAGAGTGATCGCGAAAGATGTCGCTGTCGTGTCGTGATCATGTCTGTTCTAAACTTCTAAAGCAAGCAATCAATAATACAGGTATAGCATAATTTCCTTTCTTAGAAAGCTAGTTAAGCTTTATCTAGTAAAAAGTCATAAAAGTTCAATCTCAATAAAGTAGAAAAAAAAATTGTGTGTGTCAGCTCCGACGCACGACTGGAGTTTACTCCTTAAGTTCGATAGTCTAACCAGACGCAAAAAGAGTTTATTTAAACTTTAGAGGATTGATACTGTATGAAAGGGTAAATTAACCAATTAATGAAAATAATATACATATATAAATATATATTTATTCATTTCATATACATTTATTATAACTAATCGACGAAATATTTTACATTAAACTTTTTACAATAGTCAATTTCAGATGTGCATAAATATATCATTAGGAATGTTGATAAGTTATGTAATTATTATTATCAGACTATTATAATTTTTTTAAATATTAATTAAATCCACGTTGTCTGCATTATTAATTACAGTGACAAGTGGTTTATGGTAACTAAAATAAGACACATGGACGTTCGTAGATACGTGGTTCACGAATCTTGAAAATACCGCATCAATGGTTGTACCATACCTCGTTGTCCCCATTGCTCTAGCAGAAACAATATCTAAATGCAGTTCAGATTTTAAAACTTTTATTAATGTCAATCCGTCATCTTTGTTTGTCAAAGTTGCGCGACATAGGATGCGCACCAAAAACGTAACGAGGTCATTCATCGATAGATTTCACTCCTCACATTTTTCTCATACCGGGCCACTTATATATGGAAATCGATTCTTAAGGAGTAAACTCCAAAAAAGTTTTTTATGCTAAAGAGGTGACAAACAAGCGTATGTCTAGTCTGATGGTAAATGGCCATCATAGCCTGAAGAATATATGCTTGCAATACAAAAACTACCGCTCGCGCTGTTGTAACCCTGACATGATTCCAAATTATGTAATGCAATGTGACTTCATCAATTATCACAAAACATATTGAAGTAATATTTATCGAATCTATATATAATAATACTAGCTGTGCCCCGCGGTTTCTTAGGGACATTTTCCCGCAGTAAAACGTAGCCTTTGTGTTAATCCAGGGTGTCAGCTATCTCCATACCAAATTTTATTGAAATCGCTCCAGCCGTTTAGACGTGAAGAAGTAACAAACATACACACTCACAAAACTTTCGCCTTTATAATATTATAGTGCAATAATAATACAGGGATAAAAAAAAATGTGTGTGTCAGCTCCGACGCACGACTGGAGTTTACTCCTTAAGTTCGATAGTCTAACCAGACGCAAAAAGAGTTTATTTAACTTAAAAAAAGATTAATACTGTATGAAAGGGTAAATTAACAAATTAATGAAAATAATATACATATATATTATCGACGAAATATTTTACATTAATTATATAGGGCGATTATGTATACGCCATTTGTGCATTTAAAATTTTAGTTCATATGTATCAAAATAGATGGCGCTGTAGTTCATTGCATCACGCTTGTAAATATGTTTGGAGCTAAAACGTCACCTAACTATTACACTGTAGTTTCAGTTTAATTCTTTTGCACCTAAGCTCTCGGATTTAAGTCATTTTGGCTCGAACAGGATGCGCACCAAAAACGTAAAGAGCTCATTCATCGATAGTAGCGGTGGGTCGTTCTCAAATTTTCTGACGACGAAACGCAACCGTTTTCTCTTAAACGAAAAGTAGTCCTCGAAACGGTTCTCGTTCGCAACTGGATTTGGTTGCGGCTGGGTGACGCAATGAAACGACACGCGACGGTCGAACGAATGTAACGCAACGAAACTGAACTAAATGAAATCTTGTTAACGTTCGTTTCGTTGCTGCGAACGAGACGACGAAACATCGAAATAAATGAAGTGTTATACGATAATCGATTTTAAATGTTCAATAATAAAGTTATATTATTGTAAAATCAAAGCTTAATTATCATAGAACGAAACGGCCTCATATCATTGCGTTCTATTATAGACTGTATTTACTTCACCATAAAGTACATATTGGCGTGCAGACAATCCGGACTAGTTGTTCGACGAAGACTGTTTTGATCCGAAACGTAAAACGGTTCTATCGTCGCGGAACACAAAACGGTCCTTGAAACCGGTTCGTCTTTAGAACGCTCACAACTAATCGATAGATTTTACTCCTCACATTTTTTTCTCATAAGATACAGGGGGCCCTGTATCTGTATGAGAAAAATATGTATATATGGAAATCGATTCATAAGGAGTAAACTCCAAAAAACCAACGTTTCTTGCCGGTTCTTCTCAGTGCAAGGTCCCCCCGTCGTAGATTTGCGAACCGATGTCGTAGCTTTTGGATATTCACAAGGTGCCTGTAACAGCCTTAAATGAATAAACGATTTTGAATTTAACATGACTGCAGCAGATGCAGCCGGGACCAACGGCTTAACGTGCCTTCCGAAGCACGGAGGAACTCGAGGTACAAGATTTTTGGTCACCCATCCAATGACCGACCACTGCGAAAGTTGCTTAACTTCAACGATCGCAGCCGAATGCGCTACCCACCCGCGCCATCGCGCTCCTCAATGGCCAGTTAACTTAAATAAGCAAAATCGTTAATGAGCATAAGCGTAGCGGTTACTTGTAGTATGGGTTTATTGTAGGGTGCATTATCATAGTATTCATAGTAGTGTTGATCAATAATAGTGATGCGTGAACAATAATGGTTATTTTCGCGTCATAAACCGTCCCCGGAAGAAGCGGCACATTTGCTTTGTATTGCAATTGTGACGGAACGGCCATTTTGACGTCAACCCTCCAGTGCAATACTGTAGATATTATTAATGTCGTAATTACGTTTTCATGGGGACAATGGGACATGGGAGATAATATATTGTAATAATAATACATAATAATAAACGTTTATTGACTTTGAGCTACAATATACAATATTTTTTAATTGATACGACAAAAATTGGTGACAAAAGGCACATTGGAGTTTAAATATTGTTACCACTGTTGTCTGTAATAAATAAATAAATATTTCCAACACTCACACCAATTAGCCTTGCCCCAAAGTAAGCACTGTAAGGCTTGTGTTATGGGATGCTAGGGTAACGGATAAAATACATATACTGTACATATATAAGTATATTTATATAGAAACTAGCTGACCCAGCGAACTTCGTACCGCCCTAAAAAAATAGGGGTTGTCCAGCGGACAAAATTGTGAATCTAAACCATTCTCAGATCCCCTTGAACACACACAAAAAATTTCATCAAAATCGGTCCAGTCGTTTAAGAGAAGTTCAGTGACATACACACTCACAGAAGAATTATATATATAAAGATACATATTTAACATCCATGACTGGAGTACAAATGCTCTTATTTATCACACAAACATTTGCCCCCACCGGGATTTGAACCCGGGGCCTATCGAGTCGGTGAAACCATGAAACCCGGCGTACAAACCACTCGGCCACGGAGGTCGTCCTGTGGAAGGATAACCTGTATTACAGGCAACAGGGTCCTCTCTATAT